AACTGCCCAACAGCCAGAAAACTGCCGGGTTTTTTTATCTTAATATTTTGACGAGCATCTGATTCCACCCCCAATGCCTCACATATTTTGTGTTTGTCCAGAACAACGTCGTGGAGTGTCCCAGGATCGCCAACAAGTGCGGACCAAACGACAGACCAGTCGTCAAGGAGGTGAGATCTCCAACAACAAGGAATATGACAGTCGCCTGACACATCATCAGCATCATTGCCTTCCTCACCCTGCACCAGGATATAAAATAAAAATTTAATTTTAAAAAAATACAATTTTATTTGTCCCAGAAGGGCACTTTAGTTTACAATGGCAAACATACATATACATACATAAATACATGATTATAAATACGTACGTACATAAATATAAGCATAAATACATACAAAATACATACATAAATACACAATATTACACAAATACAGAACAGTTTTACAACCAAGCAACTGTCGGTCGCCACTGTGCAGCGCCCTGTATTTTGAGCTAGGGTTGTCGTGTCTTGCTCAAGGACATACCCCAGTGACCACCCATCTAAACCCTGTGTCACCGACACTTGCTTGACATCACTTGAGTCTAAACTCACTGCTCACTATGCCACTGGAGCCCCCAGTATAGGCCACGAATAAACACCTTCCACCTTTCTCTATCCTGGGCTAGCCTCTTGTTGTTAATCCATGTCTTCCCACTTTTCTGTACATCGATATCTGTGGTTCTTCTCCTGGTTCCTCGCGGTCTTCCCCTTGATCTCTTACCCTGTATGTAATCCCAAATTTTTTGTTTGTTATGCAGCTGCCTTACTTCCTGAGAGTATGTCCAATCCATCGCCACCTCCTTCTTCCTACCTTATCTCTGACTAGGATCTGTCTTGTTTTCCTTAACACTTCCTCGTTGATGACCCTGTCTGTCCACTGACACAACACAAAGCAAAAAAAAATAATTTTTTAATTGATAACACTATACAATAACATTAAACAACAATCGGGAATAGTAGACATCAATAAAATCACAAAGCACACGAATATAGTAATCATCGATAGAATCACACAACACATGAGAATAGAAACCATCAATGTACATTGTACAGCATACAAAAATAGTCACCATCAATAACATAAAATGATAATATGAATAATAAGATGAATATTTTGAGCGATTTTCTTTTAGTCAGAACAAAACCTTTTATGTTACTGTTGCACGTTGTACTGTACTGTTAAAGCGCTCACTCAGAGCCTGTGTACTTTAATCGGGGTTGAGCGCTATATACATGTCATTATTATTATTAACATTATACAGCACACGTAGGTAACACACTAATTATAACACAATAGCCATTTGAGTGGAAGGTCTTCTACCTTATAACCTCTCATAATTAAGGGCCATGTCACAAAAGCTGAGAGCTAGGAGAACTCTTCAAACATTCCGAAACCCATACAGCCGTGATCTGATAAAACGCATTAATTTTTCTCAAAATCAAGGTTTCGAGATTTACACGATTTAGTGTTTTTAGCTAATTAAACAAACAAATAGCAATGTTGTTTTTGTTTGACTATCCCAATTCTCATTAACCATGACTATACCAAATTTGTTATCGAATTTGAGCTACAGACAAACAAACAAATAAGAAGAATGTGTTTTATTTTCAACGCTTTAATCCCAGAATGATCTGATAAAACGAATTTATTTTCTGCAAAACACAGCTGTAAGAAGGATTTATCATTCTTGAACCTACGGACCGAAAGGCGAAGTTGCGACCTGCCAAATAGTGGATTTAATCAGGGTCAACGGCACCACAACGTTGAAATTTACAATGTTGGTACATTTATAGCTACTGAGCTATGGGCGTGTGCAAGAATTAATGGGCTAACGTTGAAAGTCAAGAACAATCCATTTCCTCTTTTAAAAAAAATAAAAATTAAATTGTCATTGCTGTTTTCAGAATAAAAGCTGTTTACTTGTATTTCTTGCAGACTAGCCCGTGAGAAAAGTCAAAGTTTTAGCATCTGTCAGTCGACTAGTATTTCTTGTCTTTCTTCTACAGTGAGATATTTGCTTATGGGTTGCACTGAATATGTTTCCTCTTTATTTCATTATCATTATTTTTGTTTATTCATCCTTTGATTTGTGAAAATTAATCTTTTTTCCCCCAGACAGTTCAATTCCCAAAATGAGTGCTTTTGGTTTTGATCCGAATCAGTTCATG